GTAATATTTGGGGTCACAAGTTTTTGCCATGGATATTTCGTGGGTCAGAAGATAAAAAGTTTGGGAACCACTGGTCTAAAGCACTGATAAGTCTCCACAGAATGATTTTAATGAGTTTTGTACAGATGATGATACACCACACTTTGAACAACATCCTTCAGTTTCAACTAATAAAACTAATGATGGCCTAAAATGCAGGTTTGCAAACCATGGTGACTTTTAAAAGTTGGCCATGTTTAATGTAACCGCAGCTTGCTGATCACTTGGTTTAAATGTTCTGTAACCAAAAAAAATAAAATGCTGATTTTTTTTTCACAGTTTTGAACACTGTCCACCAGTGAGCCTGATAAGACACTGACTTTAGGAGTTGTATCATTGCATTTGTTTCTGCCAGCCACCACCGTACAGACAGCAGTGTCTCAAATGAGTCAAACAATCTAGTAGATGTTTTTAACTGCTTTATATCAGCTGCAATGACAGACATGCAGGAGAGCGGGTCTTGAGGACCAGGACTGCCCACCCTGGGTTAGTTAGTTCAGAAAAAACAAAAGACAAACTCTTTGTTTGATAAACGTCTGTAGGACACTGTTTACAGTTTAAATGAAATGAAAAGGACAAACCTAGAATGCTGTGCCTGACCTGCTACTTTAGAGATGTTTTTGTCCAAATTCAAAGTACAAACCAGTCATTTATACACTTTACAGCTGTGAGAAACCCAGTTTGAAAGTAAAGCCACATTGTGGAAATAAAAACCCAGAGATGAAATTATTGTCCCCTCATTAGACCACTGATGTTATTTTGTCGTCCAGGCTCCAGCTAGAAACAGAACACTGGAAATGTATTTTTTCCATTTTTTGTTTTAAAAAGAAAACAGACCAACTTTCTTGAAAATGGCATTGGTAAAAAGGGTTGAGTCTGTTAGTTATGGCAGCATTTTATCAACTGTTGTAGTATTTGTGTGAAATTTGTTTGTATAATTTATTTCAGATATTCTGCTGTGGCGTGAAGAGGCTAATGACAAATCTTCTCTCTCATTTCAGCAACTGTCTGGATTGTGGTATCACAACAGAACTAACCATCCTGAAGTATTTGCCAGCCAAACCCGGCAGCTCAAGATCTTAGTCCAGTGTGACGTTTGCTTCAAGTTCTTTCCTAATGCTGACAGTTTAGGCAAACATCAAGCTGACGAGCACCAAGGTGAGAGGGTCTCAGTTGCTACAGGTTGAACACCAAGTATCATCAGCATGAACACATGAGCAGCAGCTGTTTCCCTCACTGCTCCACAGCTCCATCAAACCTACTGACAAAGCTCTTTTCAAAGCAGCACAAAGAAAAATTAAKGAAAATATAAAAAAAAGACATTAATGCAAACACATAATGAGTCATTCAAGATCTAATATAAAAACACAATAAGAACTTCATCATTACAGTACATTAGTAGTAAATTATTGTAAATATTCTAAAGTAAATTGATTTCACTTTAACTTTGAATAAGGTTTTTTAATGTTTTTGTAAAAGCCAGTTGATATTAACTGATTGATTAGATTGGCAACAATAAACGTATAAAGCATCTAATGTGGTGAATACTTTTTGTAGACAGTGTCCCTCTGGAAATAAGAGCATTTTAACTCTGTTGAACATACACTCACCGGCCACTTTATTAGGTACACCACGCTAGTAACGGGTTGGACCCCCTTTTGCCTTCAGAACTGCCTCAATTCTTSGTGGCATAGATTCAACAAGGYGCTGGAAGCATTCCTCAGAGATTTTGGTCCATATTGACATGATGGCATCACACAGTTGCCGCAGATTTGGTCGGCTCAACTTCCATGATGCGAATCTCCCGTTCCACCACATCCCATAGATGCTCTATTGGATTGAGATCTGGTGACTGTGGAGGCCATTTGAGTACAGTGAACTCATTGTCATGTTCAAGAAACCAGTCTGAGATGATTCCAGCTTTATGACATGGCGCATTATCCTGCTGAAAGTAGCCATCAGATGTTGGGTACATTGTGGTCATAAAGGGATGGACATGGTCAGCAACAATACTCAGGTAGGCTGTGGCATTGCAACGATGCTCAATTGGTACCAARGGGCCCAAAGAGTGCCAAGAAAAGATTCCCCACACCATGACACCACCACCACCAGCCTGAACCGTTGATACAAGGCAGGATGGATCCATGCTTTCATGTTGTTGACGCCAAATTCTGACCCTACCATCCGAATGTTGCAGCAGAAATCGAGACTCATCAGACCAGGCAACGTTTTTCCAATCTTCTCTTGTCCAATTTCGATGAGCTTGTGCAAATTGTAGCCTCAGTTTCCTGTTCTTAGCTGAAAGGAGTGGCACCCGGTGTGGTCTTCTGCTGCTGAAGCCCATCTGCCTCAAAGTTCGACGTACTGTGCGTTCAGAGATGCTCTTCTGCCTACCTTGGTTGTAACGGGTGGTTATTTGAGTCACTGTTGCCTTTCTATCAGCTCGAACCAGTCTGCCCATTCTCCTCTGACCTCTGGCATCAACAAGGCATTTCTGCCCACAGGACTGCCGCTCACTGGATGTTTTTTCTTTTTCGGACCATTCTCTGTAAACCCTAGAGATGGTTGTGCGTGAAAATCCCAGTAGATCAGCAGTTTCTGAAATACTCAGACCAGCCCTTCTGGCACCAACAACCATGCCACGTTCAAAGGCACTCAAATCACCTTTCTTCCCCATACTGATGCTCGGTTTGAACTGCAGGAGATTGTCTTGACCATGTCTACATGCCTAAATGCACTGAGTTGCCACCATGTGATTGGCTGATTAGAAATTAAGTGTTAACGAGCAGTTGGACAGGTGTACCTAATAAAGTGGCCGGTGAGTGTATTTAACATATTTGTCAGGTCTTTAGGTAGGGTATTCCATTTCATGGAGCAGAAATACAAAAGGCAGCTCCCTGACTTGGAAAATGTATAAGTTACACAGTCTGCAGATCTCTGTAAGCTGACTGGTGGATAACTGAGTAACATATCAGTTCCAGGAGCATTTATTGCTTTATGTACAGGTAGCAATGGTTTAACATTATTTTTTTTATAAAGGAAATCACTGCATAGACCTAACAGATAGAATGTAATATGTTCAAACTTCCTACTACCTGGCAGAATAGGAGCAACAACATTTTCAATCAGCTGTAGTGTGTTTCCAGCAGATTTTTGGAGGCTTAAAAAAGGTCATTTTAATTATCCAACCTCCTTATAAAGGCCTGAGTTAACTTTTCAAATTCTGATTTAATGCAACAGGATGCTTCACCTTTGAATGTCAGAGAACTGAAAACAGCTCAGCTTTCTGTCCCAGAGTCTTTGCACCAATATGAATATTTCTGTKTTAGTTTTTAATTATCTGTAAGGGGCCATTCACAATTTCCAACATTAATGCAAGTGTACAAGGCATACTCTTTTTTAGCACACACCCCCCCCCCAAATGTACAAATAAAATGTTGATTTTTGCCAACCCGATTTTATTAAAGCTGAAACATAAAACGTATTTTAAAGTAAAATATTACTGTCAACGTTCCAAAATGAAAAGAACACAGAAACAGTTAACATAAAAAATAATARATCCTCTTTTTACAGCAGGGAGTGTTTTGATCAAGAACAACACTTCGTATAACAGAAGGATTTCAATGAAGTTTGGTTTAAGTCCTTGTGCAATGCATCAAACATTGCTTATGTGGCAAAAAATACCCAAAAAGTCAATACATGAACAAATTGCCACAAAATATCAGTCTCATCAACATCAGCTGAAACAGTTCATTGTTTACTAGGTCTTCCTTTCTTGAGTTTGTGATTGTCTTTGGTTTGGTGTTTCAGCAACTGATACCGTGTGGGGTAGGTTTCATCACACACAGGGCAACGTAGTGTTTTCTGCTGATTTCAGATGATTTCAKGCATGAACTATTTTTATTAATCAGCAATCTTGGATGAATGAACTTTAACTGCAACGTGGCTGAAATATAACGTGACAAAACGTTGGCCACTATATTTTATTCTATATTCACCAAATATACAAAAGCTATTGAATATTGTTTCATTTCAGGTTAAACTGAAATAGGAAGTTAACTTTTTGTAAACGTAACCTACCTTTGCCCGGGCGAACAGTTCGGCAATGGTGGTTTTTTTCTCTGATAGTCGCTCCATTTTCCGAACAGCTTCGTCAAACACCCGTTCAATCTCAGCAGCATCTCGGTTCCTCCATAATTTTGGCCTTTTATAATAGCGTCTGCGCACTTTAGTCCACTATTAACGAAAACAAATGCATTGACAAAATGCATATATACATTTGATGGTCGTCTGTGTACAACGTCGCTCCTGGATAACAACCATTGACGCAGTTTTTCGCAGCTGTTGTCATTTCCTGCATCCGCCATTTTGCATAGTTAGCACAAAGCTCAGAGTGGCAGGCCACAGGCAGCCTTCAGCTCCCCCTGTTTGCACCTCCTATGTTGTCCCGTGATGTCCCACAAGAACAGCAACTTGATGCAAAAAATATCAACATTTTTAAAAAGTGTACACCAGCGAACCCCCCCACCCCCAAGCGTATGGTTTTTTACACTTGAAAAAATGTTTATAATTTTGACTGACCCCTATGGGGTTGTATCATCTAAACAATATTATTTGTGAAGAAACTCAGAGGCTTTGTATCATCAGAAAACAGCAAAATCTACAACAGTAAATCATCTGCATAATTCTGGTAGTTTACATTCAGTTTCTGAATGATATGCAACATACAGTTTAAAGATTGAATAAAACAGGACCAAGAACTGAACCTTATGGTGCTCCACAAACAACTATATATATATA